GGTTTTCAACGTGTTTTTCTAAGTGTCTTCGCTCGATCCACTAAAGTGTTGCTCGAGCGAGAAATGCAACTTCTTAGTATTTTTACAATCAATGAAAACTTCTGAGACCAAGGGTTCTTCCCTCGAGTGCACATTCCTTCGCTCGAGCGAACAAACAACTTCAACTGCATTTTTACTTTTTGTTTCGGGGGTGTTGCCCCTCGACCCTGCCTGGGCACTGCTCCAGATCTGCCAAGGAGCGCTGCCCCCTGGACCCCTGCGAGCTGATCGGGCAGCTCGATCTCCGACATAGTCAGCGAAGTGGTAAACATAAAAGAATTAACTTCTAAAACATCTCTGCAAGGCACAATTTGGGTTACATTCGGATCTAATAACTCATAGCCTCACTAAAATAAAAGATGAACAAAATTACAACTGAAAGGAGTTTTGTCAAATGGGATTACCAAGAATAAAAACCTAACATCATATCCTAAATAAATGAAGTGTAAATGTGTCATTTATTATCTCCTAATTACTTGATTAACAATGTGTGACCATTGTCTTACTCGTAAAATAGATCTCGTGAATCATGTAAGCTGGTTCACACATCCCATTATTAAAAAAAAAAAAAATAAAAAATTGTGAATAATGTCACATTATATTTTGAGTTTTCTTTAATAATTATGTGATATTTTTCAAAATATAGTCCATCAATGCTCTTTTTAATTAAAAAATGTCACATTATTCTATTATATATATATATATATATATGTTTTGTTGTGGAAAAATTAGCAATTAAAAATGCAAAAATATTTTTTTGACATTTATTTTTGTCAAATTAGTTTATATTTTATCAAATTGACGATTTTACCCTTGAGAAATTTAATGATATCTTCAATTGTCCTTATTTGGAACAAGATTCAAAATTCAGGGTCAAATGTGTCACAATTAAAAAATCAAAAACTAAATTGATACAAGTCTCAAACTATAGAGATTATTAGTGTAAGATATAGTTTATTAATAAAGGGCAAAATTGTAGGAATGCAATTTTCATACATAAGTTTAATATAAAATATTGCTAATTTTTATGACTGTTTTATTTTTATTTATTTGCTCACATCACATTATTTCATATATATATTTCTAATTGTGATAATTTTCATTAATAAAACTATTAGGTGATCAGTGGTTTGGGCTCATTCCTAACCGCTATAATAATATATAAATTCAACCATACAATATAATAGTAGTGACAACTATTATTTTTATTTTATAAAAATATGTAACAAAACGCACCAATGCGGTTTATAATTAAAATAAAATAATAAATAAATAAAAGTGATAGTGATGTTTTACCATGTTTGGTGTACTTGCACGTCATTTGAGATTTATCAAAAATATAAATTTCCTTATCAAGTTTGAAAATTACATCATAAACTTTTGTGATTTTCAATTACATAAAAAATAACATCTTTCATTAATTAATCATTAACTCATTAACAGAGTGTATAATGCAAGTAATAAATATTTTTTTCTTCAAAAATACCAGTATCAAGCTTTATGAAATTAATATATATATATATATATTTTGACTATCTTACATTTTTTATTTCTCATTTTTTCTCAACTAATAATATTACTTTGTCTAATCATCACACCGCTGTCTCTATTTAGAGTGCGTGTATAATAAGGCTAAGGATTTTCATTGTTTAATTTAATGTGTTTTGAGCGATAATCTTTTTTTTTTAATTTTAAAATTGGAAATAACTATGTGATATATAGTTATTATTTGGAAGGGAAATAAACTACCATTACAAAAGGTATCAAATTTCTCTCCATAGGAGTTCAATTCGTCGCCTCACACCACAAAAGATGTTACGTACACAATCACTAGGTCAAATGCCCTGATTTTGACCACCTTAATTTTGAAAAATGTACAAAAACATCCCTTTGGAGATAGTTTGAAAGGGTGAAAATAATACAATTTCATAATTAAAAGGGTTAAAATATATAAATTTATAGATGAAGAGGATAAACTAATATTTATTAATAATTGTGATGCAATTAATCGTAATTTTTTTTCTCCGTATAATATGTTATTCATCAAAGTCATCGAGATCACAATGTACAACAACATCAACCAATTCTACAAAAATTTAAAAATTAAACAAAACAATCAATCATAAGATGGCACAATTGGATGTATTGGGACTCTATGAATTGGGTCCAACATGGCCTTTTCACCGGCCGGCACTCACCTGATGATGTGAATGTTTCTATTTTTATTTTAGCTCTTGCATAACTTATAATATATTGACAAAATTTGCAGCCATAATCATTTTATGTTTTATTAACTCATTATTATATAACGTTGAAAAACACACACAAAAATTTAAAAAAAAAAAATCATCAAAATAAACCAAGCCTTGTAATGATACCATCGTCCCCACAGACCATACAATGCCTTTTCCAGTAGTTGCTTTTACCGAATGTGGACTTCGGCTTCCACTTGATCCCCTTTTTCGTCAAGTTCTCCATTTCTATAAGCTGAACCCCATGCAACTTACTATCAATTCCTATAGGGTAATTAATGGTATTATAGCCTTAGCTAGGCAAGAAAACCTTAGAATCACCCTGGCCGTCCTTCAATATTGTTATACCATGTGCCCTCTTGATCTGAAGGATAGGGGTTTTGTCTATTACCTTAAGCCGAGATCCACTCAGTACAAAATTATAGCCGACCTCCCAGACTCCAACAAGGGGGCTGGAGATGATTTTCTCATTGCTTCTGGAAATTGGGAATTTGGCCCAGATGAAGATGTCCACCTCTACCCTCTTCCTCGAACAATTACAGAGGGCAAGAGTAAGAGCCCTGAGTCAACACTTAGTTGTTTTTTATTTAAGACTTTAATACTTTTTGTTTCTGACGTCTGTTTCTTTGCAGATCTTCATCAGCCACCGAAAAATTTTCGTCAATCCTTCTTCCCAGGAACAGATCTGAAAACACTTCCTGGCCTTCCAATCCTTAAACGAAAAGCCCCAGTATTACTAAACTTCATCCCTACATACAAATCCACCTTACCCGACATCCCTAGAAAAAGGAAGAAGAGTCTTTCTCCACCCACAGCCACAACCTTAACTGCTTCTACATCCCGAACAGATCAAGAGTCCACATCTGACCCAACCGATCTTCCATCAACTTCGGCCCCCTACTTAATACCAATTCCTGAACGTAAACGCCGACGAAGGCTTGTAAAGACTGCCGAAATGGTTCGTCCAAGGCCTGTCGTCCAAGACCTTCTTGCCGACCTTCCAACTGACGCCGAAGCCGCACCAACGCAAATTACATCATAAACTTTTGTGATTTTCAATTACATAAAAAATAACATCTTTCATTAATTAATCATTAACTCATTAACAGAGTGTATAATGCAAGTAATAAATATTTTTTTCTTCAAAAATACCAGTATCAAGCTTTATGAAATTAATATATATATATATATATTTTGACTATCTTACATTTTTTATTTCTCATTTTTTCTCAACTAATAATATTACTTTGTCTAACCATCACACCACTGTCTCTATTTAGAGTGCGTGTATAATAAGGCTAAGGATTTTCATTGTTTAATTTAATGTGTTTTGAGCGATAATCTTTTTTTTTTAATTTTAAAATTGGAAATAACTATGTGATATATAGTTATTATTTGAGAGAGAAATAAACTACCATTACAAAAGGTATCAAATTTCTCTCCATAGGAGTTCAACTTGTCACCTCACACCACAAAGGGTGTTACATGCACAATCACTAGGTCAAATGCCCTAATTTTGACCACCTTAATTTTGAAAAATGTACAAAAACATCCATTTGGAGATACTTTGAAATGGTGAAAATAACACAATTTCATAACTAAAAGGGTCAAAATATATAAATTTATAGATGAAGAGGGTAAACTAATATTTATTAATAATTGAAAGAGTATTGATGTAATTAATCGTAATTGTTTTTTCCATATAATATGTTATTCATCAAAGTCATCGAGATCACAATGTACAACAACATCAACCAATTCTACAAAAATTTAAAAATTAAACAAAACAATCAATCATAAGATGGCACAATTGGATGTATTGGGACTCTATGAATTGGGTCCAACATGGCCTTTTCACCGGCCGGCACTCACCTGATGATGTGAATGTTTCTATTTTTATTTTAGCTCTTGCATAACTTATAATATATTGACAAAATTTGCAGCCATAATCATTTTATGTTTTATTAACTCATTATTATATAAAGTTGAAAAACACACACAAAAATTTTAAAAAAAAAAATCATCAAAATAAACCAAGCCTTGTTATGTATAAAATCTAAAACAACTCTATCCAGTCGGCCATTTCAATTTGTGGGCTCTCTGTGAATTCTATTTCAATGATTAATATGTTCATCTTTTGTACGCAAACAATTATACAAACATGAATTTGTCACGTTTCTATTAGAAAAAATAAAGACTATTTTTAAAATCACACTTATTTTATTATTTTAATTTTTTTTTTGAAAATAAATATAACAAAATCATGTAGTTGTAATTATCATATGAGATACTCGAATGATCTACACAAAAAGGTCAAAAATATCAACGAATTAGAGTATCAAAATGGGATTAGCTTTAGACCCATGGGCCTAGATTGGTGATGTTTTCACTACTCTGTTTTAGTTGTTCTTCTGGGCGAAGTGTTTTCTCAAAACAGTAGGGGTTTGGATGTTATCTTCTGGTTTCTCTTTTCTCTTTTCTCTGTTGTGTTTATGGTTTGGGGTTTGGTTGCCATCTTTTCAACCATTTCAGCTTTGTTCTGGGTTTCAGATTGCATAAAAAAACAAACAAACAAACAAACAAACAAACAAACAAATACCAAAACAATGCTTGTTAGTATATGTCCTTAGAAAGTTACAAGAACAAAATGCAACAAAAAAAGAAACAAGCTTTATAATGCAAAAAAAGAAAAAAGAAAAAAGAAACTCATCATCTATCCTTACAAAGTTGAAGCAACTCTTTAACCACCTTATCTATCTCTTCCCCTCCTTTCATTCTTATTTTCTCACTAAATTCTCTAGCTTTAATTCTTATATCCTCCCCACTTTTTTCCACAACAATTCTCCTTATTACTTGTGCTATCACTTCTCTGCTGAGTCTGCCATTCTCGTGTCGAATGACCTCCATAGCCGCACCAACCTCCTCCACCAGTCTAGCATTTAATGGCTGGTCCAAATGCATTGGCATTGCTACAATTGGTATCCCAAATGTTAAGTTTTCCAATACCGAATTCCATCCACAGTGACTCACAAAGCAACCGGTGCTTGAATGGGCCAGAATTCTTGCCTGTGGTGCCCAACCCTCTACAACCATTCCTCTCTCTGCTACCCTCTCAATAAACCCCTTTGGCAGTGCTTCTTCAAGCTCAACTTTCTCTCCTACAGGAAACCTAACAATCCAAATGAAATTAACCTTGCTAAGCTCTAACCCATGAGCTATCTTTTCAATCTCTTCCTTTGACATAAAATACTCACTGCCAAAGGAAACAAACAGAGTGGAGGACTCATCCTTGTTATCAAGCCATTGTATGATCTCAGAGTGCTCGTTTTCATCATCGATGATTTCTTTCACAAGAGGACCAACAGGGACAACCACTACAAGAAATATGATGTTAGGTGGCGTTTTTTTAACGGCGTTTTTTAAAATGCCATTGTTTCTAATATTCAACGGCGTTTTATAAATGTCTTATTTTCCTGTAATTAAAACAGCGCCGTTTCAAGAATCAAAGACGTTTTTAAACGCCTTGGAATGGTTTTTCCCAACACCCTCCTCCTCTCCTGTTTCACCTTTATTTTGAATCTGCTGAAGCAAGGTATAAGTGAAAATCTCATTCTCACGCTCTTACTCTCACTTGCGCGCTCTCTCTTTCTCGCCCTCTCTGCGCTGTCTAAGATCGTTCAAAATCAAAGTCAGAGGCATTTCGAAGTTCTCTCTCAAAATCGATTCAGATCGGTGAATCGATTCAGATCGGTGAGGTACTCTCTCTCTCCCCCCCTCTCTCTCTCTCTCTCTCTCTCTCTCTCTCTCTGTGCTGTCTAAACCCTAGTTATCTCTGTCAGTTCAGCTCTGTGATTCAGAGATTCACAGATTCAGCTCGGTCTCTGTGAAACATAATTTTTGACTTGAATTTCGACTTGAATTCAGAGATTCACAGATTCAGATCGGTGAGGTACTCTCTCTCTCCCCCCTCTCTTTATTTTGAGGCATTTTATTTTGACTTGAATTTTGGTTTTTTTATTTATTTATTATTTATTTATCAAAAGATCAGATCTCCTTTGTTCTTCAAGCATAAGCAACTAGATTTAGATGAGGATCGATTAAGTGTATTTGTGGTTTGTAGAATTATATGGGGAACACTTGTTTATCAAGCTTATATTATTATGTTAATTATGTTAATTTATTAAAAATTGTCTATGTTGGTTGTTTGCCGTAGTATGTTACAGGTTATGGTTGTTAATTGATGGAAGCAATATGTTGGTTGTTCGAATGTTCGTATTTGGAACACTGAATCTTGGTTATATTTTCTTCTAGAAAATAGAGATAATCACTATTGATGTATTTGTTTTTGTCTATCAACGAACTATAACTTTGAAAAAAAAAAAACTCAAACTTGAAATCATGTGGGGGGGTCAGGATATGTATGTCTAAATCTCCAATAAACCATCTTGCTTGGAGGAAGCATTCAAGCTGCTGCTGGAAAGACTCCACTGATCCGAAAATCCCAGAGATGAAACCCCAATATTTCTGCATTTGGCAACAGTTCTTACACTTTCAATCAATTCTTGGGTTCGAGTCTCCTGTGACAGTATCTCCAGTAACTGTCCTGGACTGATAACCAGCTTCACCTTCCAAACTCTACCTCCATTGTTGTACTTGTAGGGCCTGGAGAACACCTTTGTGTATGATCTCTTCAACACGCTTCGACCATCACATGACATTCTATAAGGAGTGACTAGTGATTGAGGAGGCACATTGTAACTGTTAGACCTTACATGGCCAACTTGGACAATTTCACCACCACCACCTAGACCTTTGCAGTTGAGTGTCTACAATTTCTCTACCCTGCAGTCCCATCCTCTCCCAGACAGCTCTCCCTATAAACTTACAATCAAATTTTGCTTCTGCTTCAAATTGCAATTATTTCCAACTTTTCCCAATCACTCCAACCTTTTTGCAAATCAAACATGCCATATGATGTAGAACTTTGCATGATTCTGTCACTTTTAGGACTAAAAAATTGAAAAAAAAAACCTCGACAATATATGTTTCAGTTCTCTTTATGTGCTCGTAAACTTGGAAAAAGAAAATATTGACAATTCAATGAGATAACTATTTTTGTGTTGTCTTGATCACTAACATTTTGATCAAAATATTTTTCGTCATCATTCCTTTTTTCTTTTAATAGATGGTTTCGTCATCATTCCTAATTAACTAAAATAGACAGTTTTAGATCTTTTGTGTGCTTTCTCTGTTTACATCCTGTGTCTCCAACCTTTTAGAGTTGCTATGTCACCGTAATTTGAATCTAATGCAATTTATTTATTTTTTAAATTATTAAGACGCATTTAATGATTTTTTCCCCCTAATTCAAATTACGGTAATGTAACAGTAATACAAGGGTGAGACTGAAGATTGAGGATCCCAAGCCAAAATATGTCAACCATTGGTAAACAATGACCTAAGCTGTCAACTCCGAAGTACTCCATTTAAAAAATTAGGTATAGTTTTAATAGTAAATGGACAATCTTTTTAGTTACCTCTTTTCTTTTTCTTTTTGTTTTTTCCTTTTCTTTTTATTATTTAATTTACATGCTTTAGAATATTTTTCGTCGTCATTCCTTTTTTTTTTTAATAGATGGTTTCGTCATCACTAGACCCATCCTTTTTTGTAGTATTTTTTTTTTGGACCATTAGTCCTTTTTACGTTATCTTTCATCATGACCTTGGACCCATACTATTAAAAAAATAATTTGATGTTTGTGCTACATGATTAAACCATTTCTTCCAAAAATATATATAATTATGTATAAAATATAATTTGAGAGAGTGTAAGACACAATTAACTTCATTTGGAGGGTTATTTGACCCAAAATAAATAAATAAATAAATAATCATCTAGCTAGCATGTGAAAGAATTGTCTTGCATGTAACTTTGCCTTGATTGGGATCGTGAATGTGAAACCTAGAGACTTGTATGAGGTGTGTGGAGAACAACCAACTATTGATGAAGGACTACATCACAACGAAGTGGAAGCATTTGGTGATCAAGAGTTAGATGTAGCTTCCTTCACTTGTGAGGAGGCCATGGATTGGGTTAGGCAAGGTATTGATGGAACAACTGTTGATGAAACTATTGGACCTCATGAAGCATCGACAAAGGCACAATTTGAAGATGACAAAGAACTGATATGATATTGTAATTGGCCGCATATTCACTTTTACATTTGTATGGATATTCATATTAATAAAATCTTTGCTTTTGTACCTTTGTAGTTTTCTTTAAATGGCCATTTTTACCTTTCATGTACTCTTATTTTGTTTTGAATGCAGTAGATATTTATAGATTATTATGTCCTTACTGGAAGGATTTGGTGATCAAGAGTTAGATGTAGCTTCCTTCACTTACGAGGAGGACATGGATTGGGTTAGGCAAGGTATTGATGGAACAACTGTTGATGAAACTATTGGACCTCTTGAAGCATCGACAGAGGCACAATTTGAAGATGACGAAGAACTGATATGATATTGTAATTGGCTGCATATTCACTTTTACATTTGTATGGATATTCATATTAATAAAATATTTGCTTTTGTACCTTTGTAGTTTTCTTTAAATGGCCATTTTTTCCTTTCATGTACTCTTATTTTGTTTTGAATGCAGTAGATATTTATAGATTATTATGTCCTTACTTTTATGTTTGTAGTTTGTTTATAGATATTATCTATGAGTTCTAGCTCCGACCATTCTTCTAGTGAAAGTGAGCAATCAAGCTCTAGTAGTTCTAGTTCAGATGAGACTCAGACCACACTCAAGATGAAAGTCATACCCGATCCATCGGCATCATGGCATCCACCAGGCAATCTTCTTACCACATCACGTAGCGGTAGTACATCACATGGCTCTGTTTCAGCTGGTATGTATAAACTTTGCTTGATATTTTCTTATGGTGTTTTTGAGTTAGATCTGTAGTCCTATCTATTTTTTTCCTGTATTTTTTATTATAACCAAACAAAAAGTGAAATTATATTTGAAAACCAATTTGTTTTTTTTTTTTGAAAACCCATCAAAGGCCAAAGGCCAGAGGTACTTGTTATATTTTTCTAGTAACAAGGGTTTAGCTACTTGATATGGGTCCCTCATGACACTGGTTGACTGCATTATTTGAGCCTTTTTTACTCCATATTAAGAGAAAACTATAGCTAGAGCGAAAAACATTCTCGTAAGATGTCAAAGATGAGTCCATATTGTTTTAAAAAGCATCTTTGACATCTTACTATCAAACAAAGCATCTTTGACATCTTACTATTAATAAAAGTTGCTTGACTTATCAAAAAAATATATATTTAAATCCTTTTTTTGTTATTCTGCTACAGTTTACATATCCATGGGATAATGCCATTAGTTTTTGTATAAATATGTCAGCTTAGACATATAGATAGTTTAAGCTTACTTATTGTTGGTGGAATGTCTTATTGTTGGATGTAGATTGGTATGATTTTCCATCTCTTGTTTTGCTCGAGGAAAAAACGTAATTTTCCATTCTTCGTGATTTGTTCTTCTTTATTTAAGTTCATTTTCTCTCTTATTAAAAAATATTAAGATAAAATGACTTGTAAGAATAATAGCCAATGGGTGGGGCATTTGTCTGTTGAATTTATTTAATCTTGGGAAGCACCCAACTAAAATCCTGCCAATACAATGCTAAGTAGAAATATACTATATACATATGTACACATTTACAATGTTTGAGGATGCCCCCATTGACTGACCAACACATTCTTTCTCCCAAAAACATCTTAGACATTGTTTCAGATAGGTAATGATTTGAACTCCTGGATGCCAGACTAAGGCCTCATATTGCCCATTATTTAAGGGGTTTTGTGTTTCAGTTTCAATTGGAAACTCAAATCAAGAGACTAAAAATTATTGTTTGCTACTGATACTACAGTAGTGGATGCCTGCAATGTGAATATTGCAACTGTATCCAATGTCAAGCCAGTTCTGATTTCCCCCAACAACATACTTCTGTTTTCTTGCTTATTGACCAATTGAATGTATTCACCTTTGTCTCCAACAAGATAAAGCTTGTAGGCAGGGACCCCTTTAACTGAAAAACTCATCTCTTGTTATTCTACATTGAAAAAGAAAAAATGCTAAATAGCCGTCTCAAACTTGATTATTTGTTAGTTTACAGTTTGCACAATAGTTGATGTAGTCTTTGTTGTCTTAGCACGTTCAGATAACTCTTGTACTTCCACTGATGTGATTATGCATATCCTCCTCAACCCCTTATCTTTCCTATTTGTTTATTAATAGTAAGATGTCAAAGATGCTTTTTAAAACAATTCAATGATTAGACTTGAGAATCAAGAACTCTC